GCAGGCGCATAACCGCTGAGCCACCCAGGCGTCCCTCCAAGCTGTCATAATGAGGATCCATGAACGATGGCTCAGAACCTCTCCTTCCAAAATCTTGTTTTGCTTGACTCTTACAGTCTCATTCCCCATCCCACTAACAAAAGTATGTCTAGGCATTTTCTTGCGCCAATGCCAGGAAAGCTGTGAGATGTTTTTTTTGTTTTGTTTTGTTTTGTTTTAGCAGATATTTTGTACAGATTATGTGGGCTATGTGGGGGGGGGGGGGGAGAAAAAGGCAATAGAGCAAGCAGAAGGTTTAAGATAAAGTCACATACCAACTTGCAGAAACTATGGCAACCTGACTTTTCCAGTGTCGAGATCAGTTACAGTTTTAGAAATGGAAGACATCTATGAGATCCTGTTCATGTCTTTTATTCAAAGATTCATTTATTTAAGGTTTACTTGTTCACTTTAGAAAGAGAGAGAGCATGAGTTCGAGAAGGGGTAGAGGGAGAGGGAGAAAGAAACTTTAGCAGACTCCTCACTGAGCATGGAGTGCAATGCGGGGCATGATCTCATGACCTGAGCCAAAACCAAGTCAGATGCTTAACCAACTGGGTCACCCAGGTGCCCCTATCCCTTCGATTTATGGGAAAATGGGCCTCTGGGAGGTTGGGTGACTCACTCAAGATCATATACCTGGTTGGCACTAGAGTTAGAATATAGTCTGGGTCTTTTGGTTCCAACACCTCTTTCAATTATACCACAAAACAGCTTTATTCCTGTCAAAACTTAAAAATAAACCACTTTGATGAAAGTCTTTCCAAACTGGTTTACACAATTTCTATTTTTATATACAAAATATAATTAACATTCTCTGTGAGTCAAGATCACTACTCTGAAGATCGGTCATGTCAGTTCTCTAATAGAGTCTACAAATGCCGATTTCACAGAGCATAGTGCAATGCTGGGAATATGACAACTGCTTTTTACAGATTTCTGCGGATTTCCTCTTTACTCATATTCCTTGCTGTCCTCAGTGTCTGCTCCGATTGTCATCCCCTTCCCCCACCTTCTAATTTTAATTTTAAACTCCTGTTTTCTAAAGTCTATTCTCTAGAGTAATATGAAACACAGACAAATGCCCACCATATTCACTGCAGCACGATACATTATAGCAGAAACAAATAAGAACCATAAATGTCCAACATAGGAGAACGTTTGGCGAGTAGTACTTTTAAGAACTGGATATTGTGCGGTCATTAAAATTATCTTCACATAAAGAGGTTTTAATGAAATGAGGGAACCTTATGTTCTAATGTTAGGTGAAGAAAGCAGAATATAAAACCACAGAATATCAACCATATTTCAAAAATGCTTTGAGTGAGAGAAATGCACCAAATGTTTACAAAGGTAGGATTATTTATAATTACTATTCTCTTATACCATTCTACTTATCTCTATTCCTGCAAGAAAAATGCACTCCAAGTCAGAAAAAGAATTTTAAAAAAGAAAATATCACATTGGAAAATATAACCTAATTAATCAGAACAATATTAAATAAATATATATAGATGATAGGTAAGAATCTAAAGCCCCTGTTGTATGGGCTTGTCCACAAATTTTGCAACATGGTATGGTTGCATGTGGCATATCCTAACTTCTAATTTCTTTGCTAAATTTCAGGTTTGTCAGTTTGCCGGATATTTGAACTGTGAGTAAAGTATTAAGGATGGATACTTAAGGAAAAGAGAGGAGGATGTTGAGAAGGAAAGACTAAGAAAAAGAAGGGAGGGAGAAAAGGTTCTGAGCCAATGCTTTCAGACAAGTGTCTAAGTATTTTTTCATTAATTGGTTTTTAGAAGTTTAGAAGCCACAGATGGTGGCAACTGTCAGTAAGTTACTTGGGCTGATTTATCAGTGGATGAGCATTAAAGACAAATTAACCTCTCAAGAGACCAGGCTAGTGTCCAATTAACAATTAACTACTTCCTCAAACTAGGAAAGCTGAATTAAGAATATGAGAACAGGGGAACCCTGGGTGGCGCAGCGGTTTGGCGCCTGCCTTTGGCCCAGGGCACGATCCTGGAGACCTGGGATCCAGTCCCACATCGGGCTCCCGGTGCATGGAGCCTGCTTCTCCCTGTGTCTCTGCCTCTCTCTCTCTCTCACTCTCTCTCACTCTCTCTCACTCTCTCTCTCTCTCTCTCAGTGACTATCATAAAAAAAAATTAAAAAAAGAACGTGAGAACATCACAGCTGGGATAGTATAAGAAGCTAAACAGTAGAAGCAATGAGTGTCTTAGTATAGGATGTTTGTCTCTGAAGGTATTGGATATATACATATATTTTTTTTACCAAATTTCTATCCCAATTCTTTTGTATTACAATGAAATATTTTTTCTGTTAAACAGCAGTATCTTTTTTTGTATTTTCTCTTTCTTTAAATGGAATCTTTAGTATATGAGTAATGCAGGAGGAGGCAGTGACCTTTTGATCTGACAACACATAGTGGCATTCATTTATTCATACACATATACTCAGCCCCCACAAAATGTGTCATCTCATGTAGGAATGATGACCAAGGGTAAATCAGGCCCAGATAGGTGACTTAACAAATAGATGTTGCTTGACTTCTCAAAGCATCTGAAGATCATTTATTAAAATCTCATTAAAAAAAATTTCCCTCTGTCTTCCCAAACATTATATGCCAAGAAAACACTCTTAAAGGCATTTTAAACTGGTCTGAAGGACAGACAAGATCCAAATCTGTTCTCATTCAACATTAGTAGCATTTGCAATATGATCTCTAAGGACTTCCGCAAACATGCTATATTTTATCATAATAACCCTGTGAGTAATTACTAGCCCAACTCTATAGATGCAGAAACAGAGGCTCTATGAGATGAATTTGCTTAAAGCTCACACCAGTATTAAGCCAGAGGAAAGTCCCCCAATGTAGATCTCCAGCTTCTGACCCTGTATGCCTTCCACTGCTTCACACTGCAGGCTTTAGTGACAAATCTCATTCCAAAGTATTTGCCCCTAAAGCCCACGGACAAGTGTCTCTATGCAGAGTAGTAGTTGCTTCACAACAGTGCAGGTGAGTGGAAAATTATTCCCAAAGAAGGTAAAACTGAGTGGGAGGAGGCTGAGGCTGACGGTCATGGCCACCTCCGTGTCCACTTGAGCCCCGTCATCCACACAGACTATGTCTCTCTTCTCTTCATAAAACCACATAAAACCACGTTCATTATTTGTACTTCAGGGTTTAAACTAATGTTGGTCCCAAAAGAATTCCTTTGAAAATCTGAGCCACTTTCACTATCCCTTTACTTCACATCCCTCAGCTTACCTCTGATAGTTTGTCATCATTATGGAGCCTCAGGCATTGTTTTCCAGAAGTCATACACAGATGTTTCAGCTCCCCAGCTAGACTTTAAGCAAGATTTGTATTTTCTGCATCTCAGATTCCTCCCCCTCTTTTCAACACTCTTTCCTCTTTCTTCCAACTACCTAGGATATTGCTATGCATTCCACAAATGCCTTCTGAGGGAATGAGAACCTGTCTGAGTGCGGTGAAAGCCCAGCTTGATTAGTAATTAGGAGGCTGGAGTCCCAGCTCTACATCTAAGTATGTGATTTCAGGCAGGTCTGTGGGTCCCAGCTTTCTCAGCATAAAATGGTTATGGGAACAGGAAGTGGGTGGGCTACGAGTTCTATGATCTCTGGGATTCTATGAATATTTATATTATTTTGATTGGGCTGATCATAGCCTTACTTTATTTCATTAGGGATGAGAGAGGAGACAAATGTGAAGTCCAAAGAAAAGAATGTTAAAAACAAGACAAATACAGAGATCAAATAACCAACCACCCAACAGGCAGAGGAAAGCCAATGTGTCTGGAAAATTAATAAGCAAAAGAGAAAGAGAGTAGAGATGTCTTGGGCTAGAAATGTAGATTCTAACAGGGATGTAAAGGGTTTAGAGGGCAAAATGTAAATGGCAGCAGATTGGCAACTCGAAAATTCCTGTAGTGCTTAGACATAGGTAGCATAATGTTTGCTTTTTATATTTGCTCTTCTGTTTGCTATTCAAGCTTGTAATCAAATGTTGAGAATGTCAGCACTGAGACTGCTTAGATCATGAAGAAGTAAATAAAATGCAAAGTAACAACTTCCTTGTGAAACCAGAGACAGAAGTTCCTGATATTGAAATGGGGATTGATATTATAACATTTGACCATTAGCAACCGATTTTCCTATATTTTCCTCCATTTAGGGGGAGTAAGGGGCAAGTAATGACAATTTTAATCCGGGTATTTCTCCTAAGTGTAATTTTATTAAAGATTTAAAAATCCAGGTAATAGTGTACTGGTTTCATTAAAATTGGGCTTTAGCTGACAGACCTTATATTAAATTAAAATGGTGTTACAAGGAAGTCTGTCTGTGCCTTTATTAAGAAATTCCCTTAAATAGGATGAACTTAAAGCAGGTAGTAAGCCAAAGCCTCCAATGTGGTATTAGGGGTGGGAATTCATCAGAGGAGGTAAAGGAAAAGAAATTGAAGTTTACCTTGAAACTTCAAGGGGAAAAAAGGTACCTCTTTAGAAAAAGAAAAAAAATCTCTGAAATTAAAAAATAATACTTGAAGTAATAACAATCCTGGGATTATCAGATGTAAAAGTTTTTAGTTGGTATCCAAAACTGAAGTGACACTTTAAACGATTAAATCAATAAGAGTACATGGTTCATGAAAGGCCAGAAAAATTCCATATAAAAAAGAGCAAAAATTTTAAAGGGATTTGATTTAAGAGCCATTTTTAGAAATCTCTTGATGAAATTTTTGATACTAAAGCTGCAGAGAAAAAACTTACTGTTAATCCATGTTATATAACTTTGAATCCAGTCTGCCCTCCATCTTCTACCTCAGAAAAGGGCCTAATTGTAACCAAAGTCTAGAAAGACACTTCTGCAAGGAGAAAAAAAGTGTATGTGTGTGTGTGTAAAGACAAACATACCTGCTTCATCATAGGATACAGTCAATTTTTCTAGCATTTCTCGGTCAATTGACAGAATCTGCTGTTCAAGGATGGTCTGGTAAGACAAAACACTATTTTCTTTGTCCTTCTCGTAGTCCTGAAGATGCTGTTTAAGAGCCTCTGGGAGTCTTGATTTTACATATTCAGCTGCAGTCTGCAGTTAAAACAGATAGAAAACCCATTAGTATTTTTCATCTTAGGCTTTTCCTTCCCCTCACGTGCTGTAGAGAAAACTCAAAGCACTGCGGAATCAATGCTTTGGACAAGCATATCCTCGTCGTTGTCATTTTTAGAGTCCACTCTACTAAGTATGGATATTCAAATAGACTCACAGAGCTGCATGAGTTTTCCACCAGGTTTAAAGGTATGAGAAATGATGGATTTGGTTTGGCATACAACGAGTTAATACTCAGTTTCAACTATTCCACTGAACTCTGAAGGCTCCATGATCATAATTTTATCCTATTTATTGGATATAAATCTCACTTGCCCTTGTCTAGAATGTAGAAGCTAGGCACTCATCTCAGCAGTGAGCCCACCTATGCTATGACATCCACATCTCTGTTTTGATGTTCTACGCTCATTAATGCTTCATAGGAACTCTTATGAAGTGAATAGAAAGGAGAGTGCTCTGCTGGGGCTGATGATGGAATAATGGGATAAACAGAGAATGAAGAGATCTAAGACAATGATGCTCCTTACCCTGAAAAAATAACTGTTTACCACTTAAATATATATGTATATATATATATATATTTCTTATAAATATATAAGAAATAAGAAATTTCTTAATTTCCTATAAGAAATTTCATATTTCTTTATATATATATATATATATATATATATATATATATATATTTCTTACATGCGCGCACACACACACACACATCATTCTTAACTTGTTTTTTCTCTGCTACAAAATCTGCCCAAAAGCCTCCAGATGAGTAACCTCTGAAATTACATGCAGTGATTTTTCAACCAAGTAAGCATGCTTCCATTTAAGGTAGGAAGGAAAGCATGCGTACTTTGAAAAAGACCTCCCCAAAGATTCTGATATGCTCTGCTGATGGGCTGGAGAAAGCATACTCTTCTCCCTCTCAGTTGAGAATCATAGCTAAAAGTTAAACAGAACTTTAAGAGAGAAATTAAATGATAGAGAGGCATGTATGAATCAGGGGAATTCTGAAATTCTTAAAACACCCCTTTTAAGAATGCCAAGAGTTTGGCATCTCCTTGCAGTATGGCCCTGCATCACATGCATAAAGTCTGAAGTTGATAAAATAAATAAAGGCATACATCTATTGTTTAAAATTATACTCACAACCACTTGGAAATGTACATAAAAGAAACTGTTAAGAAGGACTGCCTAGCAGTGCCTAGAAGACCCCTCCACATAGTTTAATATTTAAAAAAAATCCCATATAGCTATTAATTGCATAATTTAAGACAAGTTTGAGTTAAACACACGCACAGCTCATCAACAGGGGTTTGTTGTGGGTTTTTTTTTTTCATTTATCAAACAGCATGTTCTATAACCCTTGGGAAAAAAATGAGATAGGTCTATAGGTACCAGCAAGGAAGAATGTCATGGTATTACTGTTAAGATTAAAAACCAAAGTCACAAAAAAAAAAAAAAAAATTAAAAAAAAAAAAAAAAGGGATCCCTGGGTGGCACAGCGGTTTGGCGCCTGCCTTTGGCTCAGGGCGTGATCCTGGAGACCCGGGATCGAATCCCACGTAGGGCTCCCAGTGCATGGAGCCTGCTTCTCCCTCTGCCTGTGTCTCTGCCTTTCTCTCTCTCTGTATGACTATCGTAAATAAATAAATAAATAAAAAATTAAAAAAAAAAAAAACCAAAGTCACAGAATACCAGTCACAGTATATCCTTTTCATGGAAAGCATACACATATGTATATGTGCTATTCTGTAATATCATACATGTGGGAGAAGATATTGAGGGCTATATTCCAATTGCGGAACATACTCACTTTTTACTCCCCACATTTCTGTATTGTTTCAGCGCTCTTACTATTGTAATTTCTAAGAATTATCTTAAAATGTTTTTTTGTGACCTTCAGAGTTTTCCTTTTAAATGTTAGCACAATTTAAGATGAAGAGAAGCTTGCCAGAACAATGACAATTGACCTCCCAGGAAAGGCCTACCGGGAAATGATGAGGAAAAGTTATAGATCAGTCCTCAGAGTGGTCAAATATAGCACACAACACTTTTTATTTCCAGATTTACATTTAGATTTCATAAGTCAGTTGTTGATGAAATTACAATTTTAAAATATCACCAAACATTGTTCAATTTCCTTGCCAGCCAGCTAGTGCAGAACAAATAAAATTATTCCATGAAATGTAAATGGACTCAGAACATTAGCACAGCATATTTAATTCTAGAATTTAATAACAATTTTCTCCTGACACTGGAAAAGGAAGAGACACACAGTCGAATAACTATTCTTAGACTCATACTACCTTGCTATTCAGTGTAACATCTGTCTGTAATTTTTTTCCCCTGGAGATAATCTATGAGGTACCAGAAGTAATTTAAAATGTACAGTTTATAGGTATTGGTATACTCTCTATTACTGAAAGTATACATTTCCTTCTGATTATATCTACTGATTTACTTTTCTAATTAAAATCATGATGTAGGTCTTTGGACAGAGTCTATATCTTTTTACTATATAGGAGTTATATTTTGCATTTCTTTTTTTTTAAGATTTCATTTATTTATTTTAGAGAGAGAGAGAGAGAGAGAGAGAGAGGGAGAGAGAGAGAATAGGTGGAGGAGCAAAGGGAGAAGGACAAGCAGATTTTGCACTGGAGTGCCAGGCCAGTCATGGGCTTGATCTCACAACCCTGAGATCATGACCTGAGCCAAAAACAAGAGTCGGATGCTTAACCAACTGAGCCACCCAGGGAACCTGACATTTCATTTCTAAAACAGTATAACTTCATGCATGGGGTTCTTTCTGTTGGGAAAGATTTTTAAGAGGAAAAGAAAGAAAGCAACTCTAGCAAAATACTAGATTCTGTTAAGATCTTTCAAGAAATCACCTTTATACCAAGGTAATGTTCTAAATGTATTCAAATGGCAGTTAAAAACTTATGTTTGTTCAAGCTTGAACCTATGTTTAAAAAGAGGCTGTCATACAACTACCATATGATCTCACTTTATATGCAATCTAAAACAAAACAAAAGAAAACTGTACTCATAGATGCTGAAAACAGATTGGTGGGATGGGGGTGGATAAAACAGGTGAAGTTAAAAGTTACAAACTTCCAGTTATAAAATAAATAAGTCTTGGGGATATAATGTTTTGCATAGTGGCTACAGTTGATAATACTGTATTGTATATTTGAAAGTTGCTAAGAGAACAGATCCTAAAGATTCTTATCATAAGAAAAGAACTTGTAACTGTGTGTGGTGGCAGATGTTAATCAGACTTATTGTGATGATCATTTCATAACATATACAAATAGCAAATCATTATGTTGTACACCTGAATCTAATATGTCAATTATATCTTAATCCAAAACCAGGCTGTCATCTTATTAACTGAGATTGTAATTATTCTACAAGTGATAGATAATACAAAGAAAAATTTACATTTAAAATTTTCATTGGAATTCTAAAAAAGTGAAAAATTAAATTAAAATTTAAGATTACTTATCTATTCTTTAATCAATGAAAAGTGCTACTGGAAGCTTAAATCCTAAATTGCATGTTCTTATAATTAACCAATTCAGAAACAATAATATTATTACCATTATCAATATCTTGCATTTGTGTGGTACTTTATACTTTTCAACAATTTATGCCATTACCATTCTGTATGTTCCTTTTTTAAATTTTATTTATTTATTCATGAGAGAGGTGGGGGGCGGCAAGAGACACAGGCAGAGGGAGAAGTAGGCTCCATGCAGGAAGCCCGACGTGGGACTCGATCCCAGGGCCCCAGGATCACGCCCTGGGCTGAAGGCGGTGCTAAACCGCTGAACCGCTGGGCACCCGGGCTGCCCCAGAGTAACTTTCAATGAAAGTACACAACTTCCTGGTTTGGGCCAGTCCTTCACATCCTTGAAGGTTTGGCTCAAATGCTACAAATTCTGTTAGTGAACACACCTAACAACAACCAACAGCCTTTCAAGTATTTATACAGGTATTTGTATAGGGGTAAGTATTTTAATTCTCCAGTTTGGCTGACATAAGAACTATATCTTATACATCCTTGAATTCCCCCAATATCTGCTTCAGTGCTTTGCACCAAAGAAATTTAATATCTTGACTACATCCAAGAATCAGGTACTTTGAGATAGCCTTTGGAGAAAATCTTCGGACAGCTCATAATTCTTTGCCTACATTCCAAACTTGCTTTCATGATTCCAGATAGAGCCTGGGAGTCATCTTCCACCAGCAAATGGTACTACACTTACTTTTTAATTATCATTGATGCCATTATTTTAGGAAAGTAAGCAGCTTAAACCCAAATCATTATTTATATGCCAAAATAGCAAATTATGTACTTCACATACAAAGCTATATTTAATGTCATCTTCATACCTGTTTGATCTTCTCCATCCTTATCTGTTTCAATTCATTGGACAATGAGCTTGCTTCTACTTAGGGACCCTGTGAGGTGTCATGCAGACTGTACTTCCCAATGGGGCCCCTCAGTTAAGGGCTGCCTTGCAGAGGTTCACTCTGCCTATAAGCTCAAGTTTGTGCCTGTCCAGCTGGTGGCAGAGAAGCCTCAGGGCAGAAAGTGGAAGATATGGAGTTCCTCGGCTCCCCAGGTTACACATGAGAAAATGGTTAACAGCCGGAAAGATGAACTAAAAGCTTGTGAGGTAGGACACAGAATGTGCCCAGCCAATGTATCTTCTTACGGAAGTTGTATACATGCAAACTTCAGTCTGTAAGACAGTAAAGGGCCAGAGCAGACCCTGTAAAAAAAAAACAAAACAAAAACAAAACAAAACAAAACAAAACACTCACAAAGATAAAAGAAAAGCAGAATGACTAAGGGCCTAAATTTGGGAACCTAGTAGGTAGAATGCTGATACTGGTCATTAGGCTAAAAAACTATGTACTATTACAGTGGTTTGTTCTTTAAGAAATAATCAATATATATGAAAGAATGG